TTCAGATTTATTTGTTGCTTATCAAAAGATATCTTTACTTCAGTTATGTACAATGTTATCTCTCAACATACACAACTAACTTTAGTTTATATCTTTTTCTTCGTATAATTGGTAGCTTTAAGATGAAATTTATGTAGTTTTCATTTTAATTAGAGTATTATATAGTTTAGTACTATTTAGATCTTTATCAATTAGATGAGACTTAAATAAACTTCATATAATACATAGAAGTATCTGTTCAAAATAAACCAAAATTATAAAATTAACCCAATAGTAATATGCTATATAAGTGTTTTTGCTCTCATAAAAAGAGGGTTAATATCTAAATTAGTTATTAGCATAATGGTCTTATGAATTATGTATGTTTTCTAAAATCGCGCGAAGCGCGGTCAAATTTACTAGTTATAAATATTGTATACAATTCAATCAATGTGTCTTAATTTTTACTTTAATTTATTTCAAGAAAAATATCATATCTTTATATTCAGTACGTTTTTATTTTAATATTCTCATTTATCTTTGTTTAAAGCGGGTTCAATTTATTATTTTCTATATAAATGTTATTTGCTTAAATATAATTTTTCAATATGCACGGTATAATTTTTCAACGAAGTGGGTTCAACTGAACCCTCTTGACACCGTCTGGGTCCGCCCCTAGTCGTTCAAGATTTGCTTTACTAACTTTCACATGACACCTGATTATTTCGATCATAACAAGTGATATCAGAGCAAGGTTCAAGATGGGTTCATCTTGGCGGGTTTAGTTCTAGCCGTAACCTATTTGACGGTCATCCCGATTTCTGTATGAGAAATTTGACCGAAGTAGTACTCACATTGAGACAAACTTTATGGTGGAGATTTGGAGATACGACTTGTTGAAGATTATGTGAAGAAGGTGGATCAAGTTTATTTCGTCGGAAAATTTAGTCCAAGGGAGAGAATTGTTAGGTGTTGTCCTAATTTTCTTACCATATTTGATTTTTCTATTTCTTGAAGGAAAAGATAACATAATTACCATAATTGAGTTTTCCTTCTTTCAGATAAATCTCTTATATTTGGATAGTCCTTTTTCTAGGAGGAAAATATTTTAGACTTCTAAATTGAGGATCATTCTTTCTCATTCAGCAGCATCCACAATGTAGCCATAAGGGGTTTGAGAGTCTTGTTTAGAGGGAGAACTTATCGGGACAAGTGTTGGTGTGTCACTTGTGTTTGCCTCTTTGTGAGGTTGTTCTCTCGATATTTTGTACTCTCTTTTATATAGTGGATTGCTCATCTCCGCCGTGGACGTAGGTCAATTGACCAAATCACGTTAAATATTTGTGTCTCTCTTGATAAATTTCTCTTTTTTATTCTATGATTTATCGTCGTTCAAGGTTTGCTTTACTAGCTTCTGCATGACACTTAATTATTTCGATCCTAACATGTCTACCTAGTGATTTTTTTGATATATGTTGGGATGGATCTATATTTTCTCTTCATGGTTACTTAAATATTTGATGTTTCTCAAGTATAGGCTTGTAGATATGTCCTTCATGGTTAATGCTAAGCTTACTTTCAATATATCATGTATCAGAGATATCCCGGATAAAGAATTGACGATGAGGAAGACAGTTGTCGTTATTATCATCCAAGATTATATTCAAAGTTGAGTTTCGCATATCATCAAGATTATCTTCAAATTGGGACTTGGTTCACAGAGGCTGTAAACATTATACAATTGAGAACCTTCGCACAAATTTCACAAATGCAGTTGCGTTAATTACATTAACTTGCGTCCTTGTGGGCCTTTTCATAATCCGTTTGTCAAACTTACGAAGTCGTGTATTTCTTTTATCGTACCACCAAGAGATATATCTAGAAACAAGGATTTTGGTACATTGATGTTTCCCAAAGTATTTAGATGGTTTAATTTATTACAACACTATCTCTCTGCTGTGGATTACTTTATTTTTGTTGTTTTATTTCTTTCTCCACTCTTTACGAATTTCATTTGGTTTACTGCACCAGGTCATGTGCATGTTGCAGTACAAAGGAGCGCACATTCCTGAATTGAACTGCAAATTTCTAATGCTAGAGTAACATATGGATAAGTCTAATTTACATGGAGCAACTAGCCTTTTGCGAGCTTCGCCTTATGTGGAGACACTCAACATAGACATGAAAACTATACTTGTAACTTCCTCGAACATTCATCCTATGAAGTTTTAACATCCTCGATCCCCTTCGCCTTATGTGGAATATTAGAAAGACTAACATTTCAGTAGTAGCTTTGTAGTCTTCTATTTCTCTGTTGAGTAACATTTTTGTCGTACATCTGTATCTTCTATTTCTCTTCCAGACACAAACTCATTCCATTCCTTGCTCACAAAATATAACTTCATTCACGGTGGACCTGGGCAAAACCTCGGGCTACCCCCACTAGTACATATACATGTGTTAACTTTTGAATAACTTTTGGAGGTCATAACAAAAGCATGTACACATTCCTCATAAGGTAAAATATAAGATATTAAAGTCCACGAGAGTTACATAATTGTATAGGGTAAAATACGTTTATATTAAATGATTGCATGAGCAAGTGACACGTGGAGCCGAAGACAGAAGATAGATAAATCCGAAGGCAACAATACTGTATGTTACCTGAGAGAATTATACTAGCAAAGATGAAATAAATGTCTGCCACCCGGTCGCATTTAATGAAGAATATTCTATAACTTTAACTACACGGCCCGTTACAAGGAATATGGCATTCACTGCTTGCCGTTACACATTCTTCAATTACCTTCATAATTGACATTAAAGAGGGGCTTGATCCTAGGACCTTGTTTCCTAGGTGCAACTATAAATAATGAGCTATATTATCATTGTAGAGGACACGAATATTTTGGCAAACATACACTACACTCTATTCAAAGCTCAATATAATTTTATCTTCTTGTTTACTGATATCGTTGTTATTGTTCCCGGAAGCCTTGCTCCCGAAATTACTATTTCTGTTGTTTTATCATCTCAAGGCTAGATATTCTAATTTCATCTAATTCATCTATTATTTCAGGATCAAATTAATTCACTTGTCTATAAATCACGTATAAATTCAACTGTACCGTTTTACGGGCAAACAGTTTGGCACCCACCGTGGGGCTTATACAGTTGTGTAATTAAGTTGGTCCTTGCCTCTTTTACTAACGTGTTTGACTATTTGTTCTTAGCAAACAAATCATAGAAAATAGAAGATAATGGTGTTAACAACACACACAACCTTGATACCCAAGGAAATCATCCTCAGCACGAGGATTCAATCAATGATACCCACAGCGAGGGGAATAAGGCCACCCCGGTCCACGGAAGGAGATACCCAAGACATGTTCGATAGGCGACTCCTGATGATGCTGAAGAAGAGCATGTCGTCGAAGCGCTAAGGGTGTTGCAGGAGCAACATGAGGCCATTTTAGGCCACCTCACACGGCAGGATAAGGTTATGACAGAGTTGAAGTAGGCATTGTCGCGTGCTTGCAATAATGCGAATGGATGAGGTCCAGTTCCTCTCGGTGCTCCCGCAAATCAAACAGCGTAGAAGGTCGATAACAACATCTCGAGGAGAGAAGTTGGATTCGATAGGACTTGAGGGAGCGTATTCGGTCATAATAACAAGAGCGATCCCTTCAAAAATGAACTCATACGGTTTATGAGGGAAGTAAACATCCGCATGGACCAAATCCCGGGTGCACCACCAGTGCTGAAAGGGCCGGATCAAAGAAGTACACTCAATTGCCGTACAAACCAAGTGCATCACCAGAATTGATCCCGAAGCCGTTTAAAATGCCCCGAATGCCGAAATACGATGGGACTTCAGACCCTCGGGAACATATCACCACCTATACAATGGCAGTGAAGTGGAACGATTTAGCTCCCCACGAGATTGAATCAGTGTTGCTGAAGAAATTCGGAGAGACTCTCATGAAGGGAGCCTTGATGTGGTATTCACTTTTGCCTGAGCATTCCATAGACTCCTTCAAAATTCTCGCGGATTCTTTCATTAAGGCCCATTCCAGGGCCAAGAAGGTACAGGCTCGAAAGGCCGATATATTTAGGATTGCACAAGGAGAGTCCGAGTTGCTGCAGGAATTTGTAACCCGGTTCCAGATAGAAAAGATGCTTCTCCCGGACGTTCCGGATGAATGGGCGGTCGAAGCATTCACTAAGGGTTTGAATCCGAGAAGTTTCGATGTTTCCCTAAAGTTGAAAGAAAGCTTGCTCGAGTTCCGAGCGACAACTTAGGCGGATGTTCACAACCGGTACGAGTGAAATATGAGGATGTAGGATGATCTGCTCGGTTTCTCGGCACCGGTTAAAGGTCGGGAGAAGAATAAAGAGAAATCAAAAGATGATTTCGACACAGATAGACGGTCTTTGAGGAGAGGTTTTTGCCCTATGAACGGGATAAAGGATGCGGTAAAGGCTTCCGTTTGGCAGATAGGTTCATTACCGATAGAAGAGCTGATCGCAGCCCAAACAACAGATCATTACATGACAAGGAAACGTCAGGTTCTCGAGATCCTTCCTGCCCCAAACTTTCAGAATACAACTTTAACGTCAGTGTAGTAGAGTTGGTATCGGCTACGAGGAACATTAAAGAAGCACTGTTCCCGAAGCCAATGAGATTCGATCCCAGCCAGAGGGATCCTAATTTGTGGTACGAATACCGCAGGACGAATGGTCACCAGACTGGGGACTGCCGGCATCTACGCGAAGAGGTTGCGACACTCAGGGAATTCTTAAGTGACCAGGATAAAAACAATTACGGTCGCAATCATGACAATACGGAGCCCACTAAAGCAGGAGAAGATCCCCCGCACCTAAGGATCAACATGATTTTTGGGGGGAACGAGATTAACGGGGTTACCTTCTCGGTGGCAATAACGACAAAGTTATAAGTAACCCACAGCAAGAGACTTTGGGGAGTCGTTGAAGAAAATATCACCTTCACAGAGGAAGACATGGATGGATTGTTTCTCCCGCATAACGACGCATTAGTAATCTCTTTAAATGCATTACATTTTAAAATCAAACGTGTTCTGGTGGATTTAGGGAGTTTGGCCAATATTATACAATGGAGGGTATTGTATCAAGCCAAACTTACCGGAAGCATCATTCCGGCCACAAAACTCCTCGCCGGGTTCAACCTAGCAAGCGTGACAATCCAGGGAGAGATCCTGCTGCCCACGAATGTCGAAGGGGTAATGAAGACGACCCTTTTCGAGGCGGTAGATAGTGATACCGGCTACAACATTATCCTGGGAAGACCATGGTTGCACGAGATGAAAGCTGTGCCATCGACATATCACCAGTTGCTAAAATTCCCAACTCCCGAGGGAATTAAACAAATAATAGGTAACCAACCGGCGGCAAAGGAGATGTATGCAATTTTGGTCTCCAGTAGCAAAGGGAAAGAGCATGCAGCATAGCAATTATAGGAACCAGCGCCTGCTCCCGAGCTAAGAGAGGTCAACCATAGGGAAGAGTTGCCGAAATCTTATCAAGTGCGGAAGCGGAAGCGCTTGAGCAAGTCACATTATTCGAGAAGTTCCTGGAAAGGAAATTCCACTTACGGACAGGACTGCATCCCAAACTAAGGTCTAGATTTATTGAATTTCTTAAATTTAATGTCGATTGTTTTGCGTGGTCGCATGCAAATATGACAGGTATCCTGCCGGAAGTAGCCGTACACAAGCTATGCTTGGATCCCAACATTCCTCCGGTACGACAAAAAAAACGTCCTATTGTCGAGGCCAGAAACAAGTTCGTCAAAGAAGAGGTAACTCGCCTACTTGATATCGGTTCAATCCGAGAGGTAAACTATCCAGACTGGCTAGCAAATATAGTAGTAGTTCCAAAGAAGAAAAATAAATTTTGCATGTGCGTAGACTATAAGGACTTGAATAGGGTGTGCCCAAAGGACTCGTTCCCATTGCCAAACATTGATCAAATGATCGATGCAACGGTCGAGCATGAGTTAATGAGTTTCCTCGATGCTTACTCCGGGTACAACCAAATTAAGATCAACCCGGAGGATCAGGAAAAAACTTCGTTCATAACAAACTTTGGCACATATTTCTATAATGTGATGCCCTTCGGGCTAAAGAATGCCGGAGCCACTTACCAGCGGCTCGTAAACAAAATATTTGAAAAACAAATAGGGAAAACCATGTAAGTCTATATAGACGATATGCTTGTTAAGTCTTTGAATACAGGTGATTATCTTAAACAATTGCAAGAAACTTTTAACATCCTAAGGAAGCATAACATGAAGCTTAACCCCAAGAAGTGTACGTTTGGGGTCAGCTCCGGTAAGTTCCTGGGATTCCTGGTATCACAAAGGGGAAATTGAAGTTAACCCCGATAAAATTAAAGCCATCGAAGACATCCCGGACCAGTTGTCAAGCATAAAAGCGGTTGAAAGGTTCAAGGGGAGATTGGCCGCTTTGAGAAGGTTCATTTTTCGGTCTTCAGAGAAATGCCATCATTTCTTTTCGTTACTCAAGAAGAAGAACAACTTCGAATGGACCCCGGAATATCAACAGGCTTTGAGGGATTTGAAAAGGTACTTGTCAAGTCCTCCGTTATTATCAAAGTCGGAGGAAGGAGAAAAATTGTTAATTTACTTAGCAGTCTCGGAGGTGGCGGTAAGCGCCGTTTTAGTTTGTCGGGACAAAGGTATGCAATCTCCCATTTATTACGTTAGTAGAATTTTAACGGGAGAAAAAAATCATTACCCACATTTGGAGAAGTTGGCCTTAGCCTCGTAGTCGCCACTCGAAAGCTTAGGCCTTATTTCCAGTGTCACCCGATAGATGTGGTGACCACCTTTACCATACGGAATATCCTTCATAAACCTAAACTTTCAGGTAGGCTGGCCAAGTGGACCGTCGAAATGAGTGAATTTGACATAGAATATAAACCTAGGACTACGATTAAGTCACAAGTTTTGGCCGACTTTGTGGCTGATTTTAGTCCGGGACTATTACCTCTTGCTAACAAAGAAGTAGTGATGGTGTCAGAATCGACATCAGGAGTTTGGACCCTATATACAGATGGAGATTCCAACGTAAAAGGGTCCGGGCTAGGCATAATATTGACCACGCCTTTGGGAGAAATCCTAAGACAGGTCATAAGAACGGTTCCTCTGCCTAACAATGAAGCGGACTATGAAGCTTTGATTGAAGGACTCGAATTGGCCCGTGGAATATATTTCGAGGTCATAGAAATCAAATGCAACTCCCAGCTGGTGGTAAATCAAATTGTGTCTCATATGTAGCGAAGGTTCAGTCTCTGCTTGCTCGGTTCCGGGAGTGGTCAATTATGCATATCCCGAGGGAAGAAAATGCAGAAGAGGACGCATTAGCTAACCTTGGCTCATCAACGGAAATGAAGGGATCGGACTTCGGTATCGTACAACTTATGCACTCGGTTCTGGACGCAGATAATTATTACGAGGTAAACGCAACTAATTTGGTCTAGGACTGGAGGAATGAGATCATTGATTGCATTGAGCACGAAAGGTTACCTGAAGATCCCAAGGCATCTCGGGCGCTGAGTGCTAAAATAGCGCGATATAGTTTCAAAGAAGGTCAATTATACAAGAAATATTTCCAAGTCTCGCTGGCCCGATGTTTGGGAACCTCCGAAGCTAATTATGTTATGCGAGAAGTCAACGAAGGGATCTATGGAAATCATTCAGGCATAGATTCCTTAGTACTAAAATTGGTAGGGGCAGGCTACTATTAGCCCTGAATGGAACCGTTGGTACATCAACCAGCAGAGCCATTTCGCTCACTTTTGTCTCCATGGCCGTTCATGAAGTGGGGAATGGATATCGTCGGCCCACTGCCGCCGACACCTGGAAAGGTAAGATTTCTTTTGATTTTAACTGACTATTTTTCTAAGTGGGTTGAAGAAGGTCCTTATCAGAAGATCGGCGAACGTGAGGTGGTAGATTTCTTGTGGGAGAACATAGTTTGCAGATTTGGGATACCAAAAGAGATAGCCTGCGACAACGAGACACAATTTTCAGGCGCAAAGGTCATGAAGTTCCTTGAAGGCTTGAAAATCAAAAGGATCACATCTTCTCCCTATCACCCGAGCGCCAAAGGTCAAATGAAATCAATGAACAAAGTAATTATACAAAATTTTAAAAAGAGATTGGAAACAGCTAAAGGCAAATGGACCGAGGAACTACCTGAAGTACTATGGGCATACTGAACAACAGCTAAATCGAGCACATGAGAGACTCATTTATCCCTTGTGTACGGAGCAGAGGCTCTGATCCCGATAGAAGTAGGGGAGCCTACCTTGAGATATTTCCAAGAAAATGAAGAAGCAAACAATAAAGCAATATTGGTCAATTTGGAGCTACTCGATGAACGCAAGGACTTGGCGCACATAAGGATGACATTTTAAAAGTAGAGAATAGAAAGATATTACAATCGAAGATCCAACCTACGTTATTTCAAAGTGGGAGACTTGGTTTTAAGGAAAGTCTCTCAAAATACCCGGGAACTCAATGCAGGGAAGCTAGGTCAAACATGGGAAGGCCCCTACTGGGTTTCGGATATCACCGGGAAAGGGTCATACCAGTTGGAGAATAGAGATGGTGAAACGTTGCCAATCATCTGGAACGTGGCACACCTCAAGAGATACTATTGTTGATGGACATCACCTATACTGAAAGTATGTGCTGCACTCTTTTTTCCTCGGTCCAGTTTTTGTCCCAATTGGGTTTTTCTAGCAAGGTTTTTAATGAGGCAGCAATGGAAAGCATACTACGAAGGAAGTTTCAACATCATCAATAAGACCTTTTAATAACAGGGCACACAAGCGAAGAACCACTCTGGAGCGATTAGATAATCGTTTGCTCGGTAGCAAAGTTCCTACCGAGAAATTAAGTTTTCTATCGAACAAAGGCTACCCGACCGCTCACAAGTGCAAGCCACTAGGGGATTGTTAGATAGTCTTTGGCTCGATAGCATAAATTCCTAAGGAGAAGTGAAATTTGTTACCGAACTGAAGAATATCTAGTAATTCATTAGTGTAATCCTCGTGTAAAATTTCCAGTGTTCAAACATGCATTCTTCGTATTCGAACACTGAGAGAGGGGGAATGATATGAGGATACGGCAACAACGACTACCGCTTCTACCGAAATACGAAACCAGGAAATATAGTTGTATCATCAAGACCGGGGAGTGCGCAGCCAGCCCCGTAGAAACAAGTTGTACAAGTTAGCCATAAAAATGGCAATTTCTTTTTACCACAATGAATGCTTATGTACTTTTTAAAATGGAAGAAATAAAGTAAAGTCCTTTTATTTCTATTATGTTTCTTGTCTGAACGATGAATTGCTTTTGTCATTTGAAAGTTAAACAAGTACTTCAAATCCTAGAGACGTAATGAACAGGAGACGTCCTCTTCAAGAGCACCGTAAACGTAAGAGGGCCCTCTCTTATGAAAACCCTCACATTAAAGGGTTGATTTTGAAAGAATTAAGCCCGTAATCCAAACGCTTTCGGTGAAAAATACACCCAAAGCCTTGCACAAAAAGACACAAAAAGTAATCTTGCGCAAATACTTAAATGAAAAAGGATACAAAGATTAAACTTGCAAAAATATTTAAACGAAAGCGTGCAGAAAGGAAAACTCATATAGTACTTAAACAAAAATGTGCTTCTATTCGCAGCAAATGCAATACACATACAAAAGTGTGGAAAAGAAAAAAAACAAAAAACTAAGCTGCTGCATCTCGGGGACTCGGAGAAAGAGAAGCATTTGCGCCCCTGGGAGAAGTGGATGGATCCGCCGCCGGCTCATCATCTTGGCCTTCCGGTTCCTCTTCTATTCCCGAGAACTCAAAAGTGGAACCATAAGAATTGGTAGCATCAGGCCTGACCGGAAGACCTCTTTTTGCAGCTAGCTCCAGCCCAAGGGCCTTAGCAATTTCGGTGTCAAAGTCAATGATACCCGCTTTGGCCTCTTCCAAGGTTTTTCTCCTCATGCAATACATAGAATGTGTTTTCTCAACAATGAGGGAAGTCGCTCGGTGCTGAAGTTCTTCTTTAAGTTGGTCAATCTCGGTAGAAAGACTGTCCCGTGCGGATCTGGTGGCACGGAGGCTGACATCAAGGTCATCAACAGTTGAGCTAAAAACCTTGTTATGTTCCGTGATCCTCTTATGCCTCTCTTCCAACCGGGCATACTTCTCCTCAGCAACAACAATTTCTTCAGTTTTGGAGTGTAAGGATACCTCCAAGTTATTCAATCTTTCTGTGGAAGCAGCCTCATGATCGGATGCAGCATGAATGGCATTTTGAACCTCAACCCATTTGGACTTAGCTTCTTCAAATTGCACCCTCAACCGAGACTCCAACATAACAACCTCCGCAGCCTTAGCTTCCAGTTCTGAGAGGCGAGTA